GGAACCGCCATGACTGAGTAACTGCTAATTATATTGATCTTCGTATTTGATTTTAGGACCACACTTCTAAGCTTTTTTCGAAAGAAGAAAATGACTCTGGAGTAACAGATGATAGAATGAAATGTCGTGGAGGGATCCTATTAACTATAAAAGACCGCAGTAACCCTGATTGAAAGCCCTAAGTAGGTAAGGTAAGGTAGGGCTTCTAAAATAATACCTTCTTTTTGGAAGCTATGTATAATAAAATATATTAATATTAAATTTGTACAGCGTCATTATTTTATATAAATTTTCTTCTTCCAAGGGAAGTTGAATCAAAAGACCCAGAAAAAATCGAACACAAAAAGGATGCTGCTCCAAAGGATAAAGCACAAAGTCTCTAGATTACTAATTAACTGCTAAGCTAGAGGCTCAGACTAAAATTGATACACTTTTGCATCGAGAAGCCTACGGTTAGTTTATTATAAGCTGTTAGCTTTGAAAGAAATGAAAGAGATTTCTGGGCTTGCGGATGAAAAACGAATGGGCTGAGACGTGCAAAGGAACGTTACGTGTGAAAGAAAATGCACTCGTCGTTTTCACGAACACTCGAGTAAGTTCGAGGAAAAGAAGATTTCGACTTTTCTTATAACGATGCAGTTGCTTTTTTTCGGAAAGACAGAGAGATTTAACCGGTAGATCAGACTATGGCGTCAACTTAAAAAGAACTATATGTCTAAACCAACATGATAGCTGGAAGAGGATTCTTTAATATAAACGCTTATTTTTGCCATTTCTTTAAAAAAAATATCAATAATAATTGAGGTAGTGAGAGCTGCTTTATCATAACATGATCTTCAGCTTGATCAGTCATATAAGCTCTCAGCTAACTATCGAACTTTTCAATCCGACATTAATAGTAAAATATTTAGGCGTAACTCCAGATAGCAAGCTGACGTGGCAAACTCACATTGATTTGAAGGTAAATCGAGTGCTGAAAGACTTTGGGCAGGGCAGGGCAGACTTGGGGTCTTACTTCGTCTATGGTGCTCTAGTATGATTTCTTAGAAAAATGATCAGTTTCGGGGTTAAGCGGTCCACAAAGGAGTGTGTGTATGGACAATACAAACACCATGAGAACAACGCTCGAAGAAGCTGTTAATACTTTGTTGGTTTTAGGGAGTAATACAAGAGAAATCGAGCAAAGAAGGTTGCCCTATTGATATCCTTTTTAGAGCCCAAATAACAAACTGATACATGCAATCTATTTTGCAAAGGAAGTACGTTGTCTCGAAGATCGAAACTATAACTGAAGTCGGATAGGATGGTGTTTAATTCGGAAGACTACAATACTTAAGATTACAGTCCGGATAACTGGCGAAAATTGGAACGGCAATCAAATTAGGGTCAGCCGTGACTGCAAAGCAGCACATAGGTACTAGCTTGAACTTCTGTGGTTATAGGGACACGACATTTTGGGATTCAAGGTTGTAAAATAACTGATGAATTTACGAACTGGGGTCATTTGGGGCGTCCAGCTAAAGTGGATCCGATTATGGGGTCAAACATATCGGAAGCTGTCTGCTACTATAGATATCTCATTAATATTTAAGCCTCACGCGAACTCTTGATTTAATATTGACAACAGCAAAACTACCAAATGAATCCCGAAAATGACAGACAGGGTGGTGAAAAAATTCTTCCACAGAAAGAGAGGAAGTGGCTTAGAACCCTGAGAAGATGATTATGCCACACAATCCATATGGACGACATACAGTCAAAATACCTTGCTGGGAGGATGATGATAATGTGGAGCATTTTACTGCAACTGTTAGCAGAGTAAGAGTGGTAAGCTTGAAGAGGTCTAACGATTTCTCCCGTAAACCGGGTTTTCCTTATGTTTTTAAATCTTTCGGTGTGTCATAAGTACAATGGACAACTATGCCTGGGTGGTTGGAAAGTTTTTTTGGGCCACACATATCTAAATTCCAGTCCATTCCAAGTAGTCGAGTCAACAGTTTAATAAACTTCTCATGAGTCTCGTATGCAGATCTTAATCTTCAGTCAAGTACCCGACCGATGTGCTTTACCATCGAAAAGCATATTATTTATATACCTGAGAAGTACTTAAATTGGACATACGGGTATAATTGGCATACGGAAATCCGAGCTCGTGACTCGGTCTTACAGCACTAACACTGCCGTTTATCTTATACAATTTTTAAGGTTAGGTTATCTTAGCTCTGTTCATCACGCAGAGGAAAATGGCACACTTAGGTCCATTGTGATGGCATATTAGAGACTCCTCCTCTTACTTAAGAAATGTAAGCAATATGTAGCTTTGATGAAGCTGAATCCAGTTCAGCCAGACAATCAAAAGAATAGCACCGACAAAGCGAGACAGTGACATATGTAGGTAATGCTCAACGCTTTCGATTTCCTTCTCATCACGGCAGCTACGTCAGCAGGCGTTTAACTGCACACCCATTCTAGCAACGTGGGTCCCCAACAGGCAGTGCCCGTGAGAACTACAATCACAAGTCGCATCAGTGTTTGCTCGAAGCGGAGGGGAGGACGAGATATATGCTTATCTAGATGTGTCTTGCTATCTAGCACGTCGGCTCCCTAGATCATCTTTTATTTGCCCGTTCTATGAAGCTATTTTTCCAGCCAGAGTTTGCAGGAAGGCAGCGTAATGCCCGCACAACGAGCGATACTCTACTGATTGCAGACAGTAAGTTTGCTTCCAGTATAGTAGAGTATGTCTATATTCCAAGACAATATTCGGTGTAGACTTATCACAATTAAGTGCCGCCTGGATATCAGAAAAGATCTGTAGCTGTTGCATGCAAATTAATGGAAGATTGATTGCTGTTAGTACAGCAGATCTGGCCGACGAAAACTAAGACCAAGCGAGAGTTCTTGCAAGTATATCCCACTTCCTATCTTCAGATGCCGTAATACCGTAGAACAGAATGGCACGCACAACCGCTGTGCATAGCCAGTTCCCAATGTGAGGCTTCAATCCCATGTTGTAAATGCAAATCCAACGGCACAATAGAATACCTCGCAGTTTTTCTTTGTTTCTTTTTTCACTGCTCAGCTTTATGAAGGTTACGTCTTTGTCGTACTTTGAATCTGCTCATGACCTTCTTGGTAATATTAAGGCCACGCATTGGTCTACCGAAGACCTTGCTGATATTATGAATCATCGGGATTATAAAATTTATAATACTTGAAGACTTCCACCAAAAATATCAAGATTTACGTGAGCTGGGCCGATTTGAGAATACTTCCAAAAATGGAGTTTTTTATGAATAAAAATATTTCTTAAAGGATTTTTTGGAAAAACAAAATCCCCTCTGATAACAAAACAGTTTAAGCTTACAAAATCTGCATAAAAATATTAAAAACATTTTTCATCGTTCAAAAACACCATGAAAAATCTCATTATTATGATTCGGTTGAAAATTTTGTATGCAAATTTTTTAAGCTTAAACTGCTTTGTCATCTGAAGTGATTTGCTTCAAAAAATACTTAAAAAAATAATAATTAATTCATAAAAAACTGAGTTTTCGGCAGTTATATTCAAATCGGTCCGCGGTAAATCTTAATATTTTTCCTAAAGATTTTGGTGAAAGTCTCAAAACATAATTGGTTTTATAATTTCAATAAAAAAAAACAGTACCGATTTTTTTTTTTTGTAAGGGAGAGTGATGCAGTCTATTGTACATAATTACTAGAAAAGTGTGAAGTGCAATCCCAGCGGACGATTTCTTTTACACTTGCAGCTGGGACTTAAGACTTTCCCGCAATTTTTTTTAATGATTTTAGAGAGAAGGATTCCAACGAAATCCCTAAATAATTTTGCAAAAAATTCAATCGCCGATTTTCGCCTGCATTTGTGAGTTTAACAGATTTTGTTTTTTCAACTTGTTTCGTTTAACAGTGCTTTTATTTGTTTTTTGCTTCTTTTTGGTTTATAAACTTACTGCTATTTTTCACAGAATTCCATTTGCATTCGCTAACTACAATTATGTAATGTATTTATGTATATGCAGTATTTTTATGTACATATGTATGTATATGGATTTGCATGTATGTATGTATGTATGCAGTCCATGTACGGGTTTCCATACAAGCGCATTAGAAACATTAATGATGCTTAATGATAATTGGCAAGTGAATACAGCTATGCATTTAAATGTATTTTAATATTCATGTACGTATGGTGTGTGCATAAAGTATACGATAAGTGATTTATGCATATAATTTCGTATGTATGTATGTATGGATGTGTGTATATGTACATGGGTAAGTATGTATGTACATCGATGATTTTTTATTTTTATTTTTTGCAATGCATTTAAAGAAGTTTGTGGAGCCTTGCTAATGCTGACGATTTGTATGTATGCATGTATGTATTTACAATGGATTTGATTAACAAAAAAGCACACATTTATGTCAGTATGAGTGCGTTTATGACTTAATTAGTTAGCGCCGCCATTTGTGATTCTGCTGTTTATCTAATTTTAAGTGCTTAGACAAAATTACATTATTATTCTAATTGATTTTTTGTTAAGTACTCATTCGTTAATTTTTTAGGGTAAATTTTTTGTTTAAATGTCTTTTTACCAATTTCTTGTTTTTGCAAATTTATTTAAATATTAAATAACCTAAAATGCTACTTTGTATAAAATCACATTGCTGGGTTTCGGTCGATATCTCGTTCGCTCGCTCGCGCGTGCACGACCGATTGCTATTCCACTGTTTTTCTATAGTTTTTTTTTTGAATATAGCGTTGCCAACGCGCACTAAACTATATAGTAACAAATTTTTTTTGCTGCCAATGCCAATGTTACTTTTTTCTTAAATAAATTTGTTGTTTGCCTCTTTTTAGCCGCTTTTATTTTATTCTTTTTATTTCGGCAAATGTATGCATGAAATTCCATCAGTACAACAACAATTTGTATATGTAAATAATTTTGAATTTTCTTGCTTTTAGCTGTTTCTTTGTTTCGGGTATTATCTACTGTGCTTTGCTATATACAATTTATTATTGTGGTTGCTGTTGTTGTTTTTGCTATTGTAGCTCTTGCTCGTGTTGTTGTTGTTATTGTATTTGTTGTTGCTGCTGTTGTTGGCATTGCCATTATGATCAGTGTTTATATTCCGGATATCGACCATTCTCCATTATTTGTCCTGATTGACTGTTGTTGCTGCTGCTGGTGGTGTCGCCTTGCTGCTGCTGCAGCTGCATTTGCTGCTGATGCAGATGCTGCTGCTGCTGCTGCTGTTGATGCTGATGCAGTTGATGCAGTTGCAATTGCGCTTGCTGTTGGCCTGTATCGGCTGGCATAGGCAAACGGCGGCTGAGCGATTGGATAACACTTCCACTGCTTTCCGTCTCCGTTGAGGGTGGCGAGGGGTAATAGTCCCTCTGACTTACATTTATACCATTTGGTACGACCCCCAAACCCATTATAGAGTTGCTGTTGGCTGCCGCTGCTGCTGCCGCCGCCGCCGCTGCCGCTGAGGCCGCTGCCGAGGATGGATGATCGCCGTGGTGCTGGTGCGGGTGTTGATGATGTATAACGGTACTCGTTGTAGCCGTTGACATTGGTCCGACGCCGCTGGATTGTTGGGAATCCGACATTGTGCCGGATTGCTGTTGATCCAATACCACGACGGATACCACATCCTCACTCGCCCACCGGGCTAACTGTTGTTGAGCTTGAATAAAGTCATCACTAGAAAATAATAATCATAACAGGAACAGCGGTACACGGAATAACAAAAAATAAGAATTGGGTTTCGGGGATGTACAACGAAATTAAATTGAAAACACAATCGAAACCGAAATCAAAACGTAAACGATGCGAAACCGAAAGAAAAGAACAAATTTAAAATGAAAAAAANTTGCGTTAGAAAGGCAGGCAAGGAACGCAATGCAAAAAATCAAACGGAACGCATGATAAAAAGAAATTCGAACACAAAAGGTCGGACAAAAAGCAGAAAATCCAAATGAAAATAACACAAAAGAAAACCAATTAATGAATATCACAATCCACATACAGACAAACGTGAATGTTTAGCATTCAAATACATACATATTTATGTAGGTATGTATACATAGTATTTATGTACAATGGTATATCGTTACGTATGTATGTGTGTATATACATATGTACATACTTATGTAGATAAATGTGCGCATGCTTGTGTGTTGCAATTATTACATTTGCATGTATGTATTTACAGCAGTGAAGGGTATATCATATTTATATGTACATATGTAGGTATGTACATTAGGGCGGGCACATATTTTTTACTATGCACATAGGAGGATGTTAAATGTAATTCTAAGCAAATTTGCCGAAGAAACCATGGGTCTAAAATCAATGTGGAGTTTGCCAAATTGCGAAAATAAGTTTAAAAGAAAATATGAAAATTTTCATTTTTGCGACCCCTGTTGGTGTTAATAAAAAGGTATGCAAATGCAGAAATGGATCCCCATACCAAAAAACTCCTTATAGGATGTGTTAATAGAAAATTTAAACACCTCTTTCCGACACTACCGAAAAATTCCAAAAGACCTATTTTAATAAATTTAGCAAACTCCAAATTTTTTTTAAACCCATGGTTTCATCGGAAAATTTGGTTAGGATAACACGAAGAATCATGCAGTGCTATACGCGCAGGTATAGTCGAAAAAATCACCCATACAAATTGACCCGCCCTAATGTACATATGTATATAATTGAATGAATATTGATAAGCTGAGGGGCAAATATATATTGTATACATATATGTATGTATATACATATTATGTATTCGTATGTAAATATGAATGTATACACGCAAGCTTTAGGGCATACATAGGCAATGCAAGTGAAATGAAATGAAGCTGATGGCAATGGCAATGGCGATGGCGGAGGCGAGTATGTAGGTGAATTTCTGAACTGAATTATAATGGAATGTGCCAGGAGTTAATTAAAGAGAATGTACAAATATGCATACATATGTATATATATATATATTTACAATGGCATTTATGTAGCCGAGTGCGATGAGTGATACTACTTATGAATATTTATGTATGTGCATGAATATGTACTGATAAATATCTATGTATTTAGTTAGTTGAGATCATGCTGAATGAATGATTGGCGTGTTTTGCGATGAAAATGTATGCAAGAATGGATGTGGGTATGTTTTTGTTTCAGGTGAAAACAACAATGCCTCATATGGGAGTAATCTAAAATGCGGTACTAAATTAATATGGTATGTAGTTTGATTGAACGCCCCTACTACTTAGCATCTCCACTTAAATATATCCATGTAGACTGGACAGTATTTGATTAAATTAGAGTACTCAGTAAAAAAAAAAAACAAACAGTTCGATTGCAATTCGCAAGCTCGCCTTTTTTAGTTTGATATCTAAAGCATTGCTAATCGCTGAAAAGGAAATTCCATTGCTCTACTTGATTAACACTGTAAAAGCCACCAGTTGTTTATTGGATATTTTTCATTTAACCAATTAAAATGTTTGCTTTTTAAAATAATATTTGTTGCTCATACCCAAAACAGGTTACAAAAATATTGTTCAAGACTTAACCAAAACCATATACATACATACATAGATCAAAGTATCAACCTTTATACCAAAATTTAGGAAAATTTAAAAAAATTTCATCAACATTTCTAACTTTTTAAATTGAATCTTATGGATTTTGTGTATGCAGTTTTATAATAATAATAATAATAATAGTTTGGTGCTTATACAATGCGTTAGTGTTTGGCTTGGCTTGCTTGGAACTTCTTCTCCTTCACAGTTCATACAATTATAATTTAAGTGGCTAAAAAATTGCGTTGATTTTTTAATATTTTGCAAAACATTGTGAATATGTATTTAAAGAAATCAATACGTGTTCCCCTGTTTGAGTCACTTTTATTTTTTTAACTATACCAAAAACTATAAAATTGTGAATGAGACAAATATTCTACAATTTCATAAAAAAAAAAAATCCTTGGAACCAATTTTTGCCATTCTCTAACTCTCAAACAGAAAAAAGGTTTTAAGTCACAGGAACAAAATGGAAAACGGGTTAAGAAGTTATTTTGTCTTCCTTACGATTTTACTCATTTACACTTTACTCTAAACATTTATAATTGGAGCAAGGAGTATTTGCAATAGCAAAGAACACAGTGCAACAGCACTTATGGGGGCGGAAAGGTTCCAACTCCACAAGAAAGACCTAAACCCATATAGTAAAAAATCTAAATCTTTTTACATTCTCAGGTATTTTTTATGGTCATATTAATTTAGCATTTTTTTGCCTGAGTATTTTTAGAATAGTAAAATTTCATGAGGAATAATTTTCTAGATGGTTTTAACCCACTTGTTCTCCCACGAGTGGGTCGTTTTGACACCCTTTTTTTGGAGAGTAAAATATACTAGAAAATTATTCGCCGGAAAATTTCACTAGGGGTAGTCTCAAAGGGGTAGACAAAATCTTTATACAGGGGACGTGAAAATACACAGAAAAAAAACAAACCCGTTAGCGACTTCTCAAATGCCATTTTACTCAGTTTTCCCAAAAAAAGGGATGAAAAGGACCCTTTCGTGGGAGAGCTAATGCTCTAAAAAATTTTTCCACGTGAAATTTTATAATATTTATGCAAACTACTTACGTATTTCTTATCTAATATGGCATATAAAAAAAAAAATTGACCTCAGTGTGCTCCGGGAGATAATAGAACGGGATCAATGAATGCCTAAAAACGAAAGCAGATGTCGATTCTGCTATCGCCTATTTTAATGACAAAATATTAAGTTTTGTTAGAGAATGGACTGAATTATAATTGAAAATTCTTAAAAATAAATAATTAAACATAAGTGGCAAACAATATCAATTTGAAATGGGGGTGCTATTGTATTGACCAATACTGTATATCACTGCCGTTTTCATTGTAAACGCTCTGCATGAATTCGTCCATGTGTAGTAACATTTTTATATTGAAATATTGATGCCCATAAAGGCAGAGGTAATAAAAGGAAAAGTTGTAAAACAAGTAATTATTAAGCAAAAAATAAAACCGACTTCAAATCCCATATAGAAAATTTAGGAGTACCGTTAATTTTTGCATGATCCAATGATCGGATCGAAACCAGATTAGTAGAGGATCACCGCTGAAACACTACCTTTCCAGTTGAGGTGCTCCCAAGTTATGCGGTAGCATACATAAAAAAAATATTCCGACGAATTGATAACCTCCTCCTTTTTTTGAAGTCGGTTAAAAAGAAAAAAGTATGCAAAAAGATTTGGAGGTTTTACTTATACTATATGTACCTGGGTCTTTGGTCTTGAGTTGGAATCATTCCACCGCCACTTGAGCCGTTATTAATTTTTTTTTCAGTGTTAAAACCCAAGCTAATACCCGTTAAATCCGTTTTTTTCAAATTTTTTATATCTTGAGTTATTACGTTCTTCCAGCAAGCGAGCGGTTTACATAGCTGAATGAGTTTTTCGGTAACACTTTCACTGATCGATTCCTTAGCTTGTCACTAAAGTTTGCCGATGTGTTTACTTAAGTAGTAGTAGGGGCGTTCTTAATTTAAATGAAAAAGGGATATGGAGCAAACACAACACAGATGTAAATAAGTATGTATGCAACAATTCATTTCAGCTATGGTTAGTCACTAAGTATGTATTTGTTATTCTTTTCATTTCATTAAATCAACGTCGTTTTATGCTTCTATAGGAACAACGATAACTCTAAAACTAATCATATATGTAAGTAAGTATTTTCAAGTGTGGAATGCATTCCATTTGTGGGCTCTAAAATTAGTTGGTACACGTCATCATACAAAATATTCACTGTATATATGTATTTAAGTCTGCACGCCAAACATACATACGTAGTATGCATTTAGGTAAGTCGACGTTCAATTCCTTAGGTTACGTGTGTAAAATTACTCATTACATTTAAATTGTATTGCACAGTTGTTACTTAAAGTAGCTTTGTTAATTAATAATTTTCTAATTTTTACTCTCGTGTTCTTTTTTTTACAGTTTTGGTTTCAGTTCACAATACTACCACTACAATTACGTACAACGAGTTAATTAAGAAAGGAGAAGTCTCAACTTAAATTGTGGAAAATTCACAAAATAAATCTAATCGAATTTAGTTGAATAATCAAATAATAAAAATTACATAAATATTTCTCAAACAAGTGGGCATAAAACTAGATTTTAATTCGGATTAAGGAGATTGGGGATTTGCTCGAACTGATTGTGGCAATTGGATTTGGGAATTCAGTGTAGGACATTGGATATCTGGAAGAGGGTGGATAACGTAAGCCAAAGGCTGCACGCAAGGGTTGAAGGATGAAATACAGAAATTAAGTCAAATTGGAATTTGGATAGCGTTTGAGTTTGCAAGCGACAGTGGGAGTAGAACTATTTAAGTGTTGGGTCTACGGTATTGGCTGAGGATGTGGGAGTGCGGATGGGCGGGAATGCTACGCATTGGCATGGGAGGTGTAGGTGGTATTGAAATTTCATAAAATTTTGACAAATTGGATTTGTGTCTTTTCACCTTCTTCGGACGGTATGTAGATATGTACACAAGGTTAACACGAAGTAGAGGGATATGGTGCTCTTAAAATAATCTTGGATAGCGGATACAAGGAATGCAGGATAAAAGGACAGTTATGAATTTATATATATTGTTAGAGAGAGTCAGAGCGGGGTAAAGTGGCAGATAGGCAGACAGAGCGAGATTGAGAGAGAGAGAGCGTGTGTGTGAGCGAAAGTGAATGTAACGAGTACCTACCTCTCACTGTCGGGTGTTTCACGCGGATCGAGTCGTGCCTCAACCACCGAACGTTCATGGTGATCGGCACTCTCGTATATACCCTCGTCGTCCTGGTGCAAGTGTGTATGCGACGAGTGATGTGATGAGTGTGGGCCGTGCGTAGCATGACCGTGGGCGTGCGAATGATGCGTATGGTGGCCGAAAGCATGAGGTGAGTGCGATTGATGCGATGGATGTCTACTTGTTGCTTGAGGAGGATGTCTGTACCTTCCGTAGGCGAAGCGCGACTCCTCGTCGGAGCGCGGGCGCAAACGACTGCTGTAAGACGGATGTATTGTTGCAGTTTTCTGTGATTGTGCTATTTGCTGATTTGAGCTGCGATTCAACAGAGACGAATACAACACAATACATATGTAGGCAGGTAGGTAGGTAGGTAGGTAAACTTTATGCTCTCATACATACATATGTTAATGAAATTACATACATACACACACACACACTTAGAAAATTTGGCTAGTAGTTTGTGTATTGTGAAAATTTTGAAAAAAATAAGAAGTAAAAGAAAATAAATAAATTCAATGAGAAATTAGGATCTGTAACGAAAATATGCTTGTAACCGGATAACATAAATATTATTTAAGGTTGCAATGAAAATCGCTATTTAAGTCGACCAAAAACGATAAGAACCATAGGGTGCAATACTCTTCATCGGAATCATAAAAATTATTATATTTTAAGATTTTTGCCAAAATATTTCGAAAAAATATTTAGACTTAATTGAGGTGGACCAATTTGAAAATATGTACATACCTCCAAAAGTCGATAAATAAAATTAGTTTTTAAAAATATTTTTCAGGTTTTATACCATAGCTATCTTTTGCATTGAGGTTTTTAATCGCACTTTAGGCAAAGCATTGATATTTAAGATTGCACTGTCGCATGTTTAATTGACAGCCATTGAAAGGATAATAATTTGTATGAAAGAAGATTAAGAACCGCTGGGCTGAAGTTTCGAGCAAGAAGGAGACAAAAAATAATACTCTTTTCTCCTCCTCCTTTTTTTGAATCCGTAAAAACTTATAATTTTTCCTAAAAAAATAAAAAAATTACTTTACAATTCAATTTTCTCAAAATTGTAACCAATTAAAACATCTTCCGAAAAAAACCTGTTTCCTGAAAATTCTTTAAAAAAAATTATTTAAAAATAATAGTTTGTATGAAGTCGGTAAAAATCGTTTGAAGTCCTTAAAAAACCTATAATTTTTCATAAAAAAAATAAATTTTCTCAAAATTGTTACCAATTCAAATGTTTTCCAATCCTCCTGTTTCCTGAAAATTCTGTTTAAAAAATAATAAAAAAAAAATATTTCTATATACCTAGTCGTTAAAACTCCAATGATTTTTCCTAAAAAAATTACAAAATTACTTATTTTCGAAGGCTTCTTATAGATGAACAAATCATAGGTCGTCCTTAAACCTATCTGGATCATACACCTACACTCAAATATATACACGTAGAAATAAGAACCTCCTCCTTTTTTTAAAGTCCGAAAAAACCTATGCTTTTTCCTAAACAAAATTTAAAATTACTTATTTTGTAATTAGATTTTCTCAGAATTGTTACCCACTCAAATATTTCCAAAAAAATCCTCTAGTTTCGTAAAACTTCTTTTTAAAAAATTATTAAAAAAAAAATTATTTTTATGAAGTCGGTAAAAATCCTATAATTTTTGCTAAAAAAAATTAATAAATTACTTATTTTACAACATAAATTTCTCAAAATTGTTACCAATTCAAATGCTTCCAAAAAAAAGCCCTGTTTTCTAAAAATTCTTTAAAGAAAAAATTATAAATTTTTTTTATGAAAAATTGCTTTCCTTAAAAATTTTTTTCAATTAATACATAATTTTTTCTAAATAATTTTTTTCGTGAAGTATTTTTTTGCCGAAAAAAATTCCTACCAAATTACTAATTTTTTCTAGTCTTTTTTCAAAAAATTATTTGTTGTAAGGATTTTTTCACGTAAGTATTTTTTCTAAAAATTTACTTTTCTTTATATGTTCATTTATACCTACATATATTTTATATATATATTTGAAATTTTGTCTAGCTTTGTTAAAAATATGTTTTCCTAAGAAATACAATTTTTTTTTTTAAGTATTGTTTCTATAAGATAATTCTCTTCCCAAAAATATTTTTTTCCTAAAAATCACCTCTTTTCCGAAAAATTCTTTTTCAGTATACATACCCACATATAACTTTTTTTAATGTTCCTTTTTCTAAACATTTTGTATCTTTCTTAACTTTTCGGGTAAAAACGACCTTTATGTAGTTCGATACGAGGCATATTAAAAAAGAAAAACTAGAAAATTTTGCACCGCTTCAAACAATCGCCTTTTGAGTACAAAATATCTGTGGGAAACTTGTTTCCCTTGCTCCTGGAACAATTATATGATATGTTTGGAACGACCAAGTGTAGATGACCAAATATTATGTCAGGAATGATCAGTGACAACTTCCACCAAACGGGGGAAAATTGTTCTGACTTTTATAAAAAATTTAACAAGCGACTTTTGGGAGTTAGTTCAAATGTAAAAATAAGGCGCAAACAGAAAAAAAAGTTAATCAAGAATTTAAGCACCGAAAGATTCCGATGCGCACCACTCTTTAGAAACTGAGTATTAAATGAAAATTATATTTAGAGCGATTCTTATTGCAACCATTTGTTTACATAATAATCTGAGGGTGAATATAGGTGCCTATTTTTTAACATAGAAAAAACTCTACTTAAAACTAAATAATTATTGGCTGCAACTACAAGTTTGTATATGTATGTATATGTATTATTTATTATCGCTCAACGATCACATTTGATTTTTTTTTGGTGCCATTGTGTGTGTAAGAGTACCAACCAAACAGTAACCAACCTTTATCACACCAGATATTCCAGTCTAAATCCTGAAAGAATATTAAGAGTTCCAAATAGTTTAAGTGCAATGTGTTTTATCATAGTGATTGTTGTAGTTGTTGTATTATTTTCTTATGTTAAATTAGTTTTTGATTTTTCTTTTTTTTTTTTGTTTTGTTTTTATTCTACTGGAAGTCACGTTTATGCTGTTGTCACTATTGTATGTATGTAGTTGTTGTAAGTGGTATAGGAATACGATTTGATTTATGTATTTAGCATCAGTTAAAGCGGGTTGCAGCATCTCACTTACGTACATTCATACATACACACATACATATATGCAGGTAATTGTATATAGTATGCACGAGTAACTATTGATCGCCTAGGATCGAATATATGTAAATACGAATATGTACTAAGTACTTAAATAATTTGTTAATGAAGCTTTCTTTTCTATCCAAAAATAGGCACCTACAGCCCCAACATACAAAAAATTCACAGTAAATTAAATACGAAATAAATACGTACATAAGTATGAATGTGGGTGGCATGGAACATGTATGTATTCGTATATGTATGTATTGTATGTATGTATTACTAAAAACCCATATTAATCGAAAATCAAATTAATATAGTTGTTATGTAATAAAAACATTATTCATAAAACGCTCATTACGAATCGGCAAAAATCAGCAAAAAACATAAACAAAATCGAAATTGAAATCGAAATTGTTAAATGCAATGTGTGTATTTGCAAAACGTTACTAACCCTTGCGAGGATTCACTACAAGCGGCGGAACTATCTAATCTATAATGGCGATCGGCTTCCGTCTCGGACATTCGAATGTCCTCGGAGCCGCTAGGACTCATATGGCGCGACGAATGATGCTCCAGCTGTCGTATCAGATCCTCCAAATTGCGTATACGCAGCGGTCCAGTCGATGGAGCATCATCGTCGTCCAGCGGCGGTTGTTGCTGTTGCAGTGTTGGTGGCGGCTGATGCAGCTGATGCTGTGATCGATGATGATGCAACACGGCACCGGCATGCCCGCCAATGCCCGCACTTTCGATGAGCAAATGCGCTTGCGCCGGATCGCAGATATTTTCACGTGAACTAGACTTGGAACCGCTTGAGCGTTTATACGGTTCCACGCTGTAGCCAAGTTGTGCACTTTGGCAGTCTTGCAGCGTTTTGCGTAGCATCTCTTCGCTTAGGCTGCCGCTACCGACTGGCGTATTGCCGGTGGCGGTGCCACGATGTGAGGCCGCATTACGCAATGCCTCGAGGATGTCTTCGTGATAGCCGTTGAGGGATTTTAGGGTGCGCTCTACTTCGGAGACCGCCGCACCACCGCTAGTGGAGGCGCCGAGTGCACCGTCCTGTTGTGTAATAAGCTCGAGATTGTCGGACTGTACATCGTCGCCCCATTTGTCCTTCAACTGTTCGGTGTGCACAAGCCCGTAGCTGTGCTTCTTTAGTATGCCCTTTTCTGTTGGCGTGTTGATATTGCAGTTGTTGTTGTTGCGTGATGCGTTGACGTAGCGCAGTAACGAGGGAAGAGAAAATCAGGTATAATATAGTATTTCAAAAATGCTGGCTTTTTCATTTTAAATTTCATTTCTGGTGCAACTGTGTGCAGGTGGGTGCGAGAGTGCGTGCAGCTGAAAGTGCTAAAAGAGTGCAGAGAGTAATTGTGCTGACGTTCGTTAAAGTGCGCGTAGCAAGCGAAAAGTGCACAACCTTTTGGGGAATCAGGTGTTGTAAGCGTTTTCAAAATAATTGCGCAATTATTTTCCAACTTGCGTCGAGCTCATTCCAGGGAAAATAGAAGAGAAGTTGTGAAGCGTTTTGAAACATTCCAGTGTTATTCATTAACCTTATTTCAACTTTTATAAAGTTGCTTGCATAAGAATTTCATATTTCAAAATTATAAAATAACAAATCTTTCTTTATTAAAGCGGATTAAGAAAATTGAATTCTTGTAAAAGTAGTACCACCTTTTGATTGCTCTTTTAATGGGAGCTTGTGAATGCAAGCATATTTTAAATTGAGTTGTTTTACCTACAGAAAACGACCTTGGAGTGATTGCTTCCAGATTATATGGATGATTAGGATTAAAGTGTTGATAAATCGATTTTAAACAGAGCCTTATTATTTGTATTTATTAGGTTATTACTTATATAGCCTAATGATACCTTTTCCATCTAAGAGAATCATGCGTTGACTAGTAGAGTTCTTGCGTTTGATACTAAATGCCTTGGAATAGCCATATAAAGTCATTCGCCATCAAAAGATGTTGGCAACACGTATGCAGATGCAGGGCTAAGTATAAAGCATAGAGGAACATAAGGAGGCCAATAAGCAATCAGTGGCCTTATAGCAAAGAAAGTTTTCTAAAAAATGGGCTTTCTTGAAGTGGAATTCGAAGCTGAAAATTATATAGTTCTATACCTTTTGAAATGAAATCTTCTTTTGCATATTTTCACTAACGCTTTTTAAAACTTAAGCTGTAAGCCAACCTAGGTGAATAGAAACTTACCATTGTGATAATAAAGATAGGAGACAAGATCAAGTTCGTTAGTTAGATTTTGACTCACATCTCCGAAGAAATATTTTGCCTATTTTAATTTTCTCACGCCCTCGGATTGTTCTATACAGAACAAAACATACCCCTGTTTTTTATTTTGGAATCAGAAAATATTTAGAGGTCGCTCAAGGTGCTCAAAGTTTTCCATCTATTTTGTATGGGAAAAAAACATTTTTTCGCGGAAATGGTGCAGAATTCTTTAGAATCAAATTTTTTCGATCAGAAAACTCTGTTTCGCTTTAGGAAACTTCCAGTAATAATACTTAATTGTTTATTTAAGCATTTATTAATATTAACTATTTTTATAGGCCCGCCAAAAACCGCAAAAAATGCAATGGAAGAACCCATAAAAAATCGTTAGTATTAAAATATGGTAAAATAAGCAATTGGGGACTATTCCCAGAAGTTTTCTGAAGATGGGCAGAGTTTTTTCCGATAGATAAACACTGATTTTAAAGAATTCTATACCATTTCCACAAAAACTTATTTTCCCCATATAAAATACATAGCAAATTTGCAGCACCGGATGTGAGTTGTGTTACTGGGTGCCTCTCTAGTGTTGTATGTCTACATAGTATTCGAGAGGCTTTCTTTGTTATAATAAAGTTGACTGCTGTTTTAATTAACTTTATAGAAGGGCAAGTACTCAGTAATAGTTTGCCCATTGCGCCAACGGTTAGACCACTGCGTTAATTTATTAAAATCGCTCCTACTTTTTGAGAAGTGAAGGAATCTGGAAATGAAGAATAGGTATATTCATCCCCGAGATAAAAAGATAAGGCGAAGTCAACGTACAAACTCTATATTTTCTAAGATTCTGAGAAAAAAAATAACATAGAAGGGTTATTTCTTTGTTAAATAATATTCAAGGTGAGCACATGTTTATTGTGAAAGACAGTGGGTTAATGCCACAAGTTCGAACAACTGCTATTTTGCTATTGCATACACATAGCTCCTCGCCTTTGTTTTATAGCAATGAAGTTGTGGTAATTTTCTGGAGCTCTAAAGATATGAAAATGCAAAACGATCGAGCCATTAGAAATATCTTGTAACGCAGCTTTAATCGGCTCGAAATCGTCTCTTAACTTTCGGTTTTGGACGGATAATTTTAAATGAAAAAAAAAAAATAAAAAATTATAAAAAAATTGGTACTTTCAACAAGACAGGACTAAATAATTGTTACACGCTATTGATGCGGAGGCATATTTTATAAATTTGTTTCGTACAAGTGAAACGTTCAGAGGCAGTTTTTCTTTGCTTTCATCCGTGGCAGCCCAAAATGCCTTATTTGAGTGCTGGAAAGTCTATATCCACAAAATGTGTTCGACTTGCCAAATGACGGCAATAATTCGCAATAAAGGGGATTTTCAAATGTTTTCCCATATCCATAAATGAGTCCCAAAAATTATTTAAGGAAGTTCCAGATCCAATTTCGAGCAATACCAGTGGAACGCTTACTATACGCAAATCAAATACAAAATCTCTAAAATGGGCGGCTAGCCTGCTTGAGTAAAGGCGTGAAAGGTTCATATTTGAGAATGCTGCGAAAAGCAAGTATTTCGCTAAGTAATGATGTTTATGACTAATTTAGGCCCCACTTTGATGACCATCAACGAATAGCGGTCATGAAATTGTTTTTTTCGAAGTTCAAAAATTTATATCCATAAAAATACACAACTTAAAAATTTCAGGTTCTTTTAAGATCAGGTAGAGTTTGTAGAAAAAAATTTAGTTAAAAATTTATATTTTTATAAGCTTATAAGCTTTTAGTTTTAAAATATTTTAAATTTCGAAATTCTATAATTTTTTATTATTTAACTTTTTCCAAAAATAAACTTTCAAAATCCCGCAAAGTTCGACAAAATGTGAAATTTTAAACTATTGGAAAAGCTTTGCTATATTTAAAATAAAAGTTCTGTTAAAAATTCATCCAAATCAAAAATGTTGGTCGACTTGACGTGGATGGACCCATAAACATATTTCTTTTTAAGTAATAAATATAGCTATTTGGGTATTCATTTTCGTTTGGAATGTTCGCAATACACTTCACATGCTCCCTTTTCCCGGAGCTTACTTATGTAGTTGGGTTGCCTTTTCTTTCGCCCAAATTTGTTATTTGAAGATAAAATCAATTAATTGTGTTGCAGTAAAAAAAACTGTAAGCAGAAATTTGAAGCGCATTTAATGACAATAAACAGACTAGACTAGACTAAAGTTTAGTAAGTAAGTATGTAAATTGAAACTGGCAAAACATTGAATGCGACGAAATTTATGTTTTTTTTTTTTTAACGACAGCACGACAAGCACTAACTAACTGTCAGTTATGTAAGTATTTTATTTATTAGATAAGTATGTATGCAAGTACGAGTATCTACAAGTAGTTATTAGTAGTTACAACATATGGATGTACATACTATGTTTGTATTTAGGTATTTGTAGTAGTAGTTAGTAGATGAGACTCATTTCATTAATTAGAGTACGTATTATTGCAACTAACAACACTAATCAGGGCTGAGCACAATTAGGTGGAACGTCAACAAGTATTTATGCATGTGTTGGTGTATATATGTGCTTATATGTTTTAATATGTAATAGAGTGAGTATGTGAAGGTACATACATAAGTGGGCAAATGTTAATAAATAATTTTTCTTTTTTAGTTATGCAATAAATGCAGTTTGTTCAAGTGTACTTTTAGTTTAACCATAAATATTTGGGTACCTACCAGAATGGGCCTGATCATCTTCGCCGCCGCCAGTATAACGGCGGCCATGTATGCTTTTATCCCTACAATTGCAAGAAATACATAAATACATTTGAAATAAATATTGGAGCTATGGTTTTTTGACTGAAGTGCACTGTGAGCATATACATATATGACGCTTGCCTACCTGAAGCCTGCCTGATTGGCGTACACCAATTTGCTGGAACCATCCAGTGAAACCTCCTCAACCGAGTGATGATTGGCGGCAGTGGCTGCGGCGCTGGCATAGCCCTTGGCGATGGGCTTTTTCGAGTATGGCGGATCATATTTGAGGGTAGTGGTTTTGCGTCTACTCCCAGACGTTCAACGTCATCATAGTCATAGTCATCATCATCATCATCGCCATCATTATCGTTGTCGTTGCGTTTGTCGTTGACGTCATCATTCCATCGCAAGCAGCCACATATTCACATCCATTGAATCATTTATTTCATTTTATTATATATGCATATATATTTTTTGTTTAAATTATGCATTAGCATTCATTTGAAATTTTAAATAATTTGGTTTTATTTAGATTTAGAAATGGCATTAAAGATTTTTCATTTCATATTTGCGTAATTTTTATATTGATTTTTTATTTCATGGTTTTGGTTTTATGTGTTTTTTTTTTTTGGTTCAAATTTTAATATCGTAATATATTGGATTATCATGTTTTTTTTGGTTGATTGATTGATTGGTTGATTGGTTTGTTGGTGATGCGATGATGTTGATTTAATTTGCAAAATTAACAGTTTATTTTTTTTTGGATTTGTCGAGTGGTAACGTATGTACGTAGGTAGATATGTACGTTTTATTTTTGGTTTGTGGTTGTATGAAAAATTTGAACAATAATAAAAAGTGATCTTCATTAAAATCAATTATTCATATTGATATTTGGATTTAGCCCAGTCAATTGTATGTAAGTACGTATGTAAATAAGTAAGTATGCAGGTAGATACGTGTGTAAATACGAGTAAATACGTGTGGATTCTATGTAATAAATTGCATATATATAAGAAATGGTGTAGTTAAATAAGGAAATAAAAATAATAATAATAATAATAAACAATAAGGGTGCATTTGTTAGTAAGTTTAATAATTGCAAAGGATGCCGAAAATTAAAATAAGAATTTGGCGTATTCATAATGGTGGTACTACATAAAAGCGAAAGCGAATAAAATGTTTAATGAAATTTTGAAATTACTAAAAATTTAAAAAAAAAATATTTATATTTTACTTGATTGTGAATGAGAAGGTGTTGCCTATCATTCATGGCCAATTTACAATTTGTTTTGCTACACACATGTGCGGGTGTATAAATATGTACATATATGTATTTGCAAATTTCTATATGGAAGAAACTGAGCATTTAAAAACATTTCGTATTTTGCTTTGTAAAATCAAAAAATATTCGAAAAATTATTATTATTATATTTTTGAACACTCTCACATTTTTGAAACTCCATATCAGTAGTTATTTTTATGAAGTTTTACACTCTGCCAATAAAAAAAATGACTTGCTTTGCCGATTTTAAATTTTATCCCTCACTAACTATTTTTTTTATAAATTACTTAATGTAGTGTAAGAGATTTTTATTTGTGCGTTCTTTTTTAAAAGCTCTACACGTCGTGTAAACGCAAGTGTAACGAAATTTATTTTTAATAAAACGATATTTAGCCAACGGATAAGTCTGATTTCAGAAAGACCCTTTTGATACTTCTGTAAAATGACTCTCGATCATCAGTTGACCACTTTCTGTATAGCTGTCCGCCCCTACATTTAGCCGAAACATCTCAAGGACTTGGGATCATGCTTGCTCAACAGTCTGGCAGAGAGGTGATACCCTTTGATCTTCTAAACTTTCTTTCCGAATATCAGGGATTATAGCCTTGCAGTATTTCCAAACATTGAATTAGCTTTCAGTTATTTAATACCTGCGATTTTAAATGGATTTAAAGTGGAAAATTGCCTGGTGGAGTTTAAAAGACGAATGCCTATAGGCAGGGCTGTGACAGCGAGTTTGGGTGAGAGAAAAGTTTGGATCGATGTGACAAGAGGCACCTTCCAAGTTTGCGTGTTCTCACCACTTCAGCGGTACTTGTCAGCGTACTCTGCCTTCCGGGAGATGGAATAGGAAAAAGTGTAACTTAAGCTTTTGTACAAAACGTAAAAAACGCCGGTAGCCGGTGTCGAGTTCTAGAAATGAAGATCAGCTTGAAGAAGAATACAGTTTAGCGTCACTGGAGGTCGTTTATGTCTCTGCGTTCGTTTAATAGATCCATCGGCAAAAAAACAGGGCTTGGACTCAAGCATCTGCTTCTGGATTTATGGTTAGATATAATCTCTTCCAGACGTGTTTTTAGTTTTCCTCCCACTACGACAGGAGGCGCAGTCATGAGAAAATCCAGATTATTTTCTGTTACGAAAGACATCTAAGAGGAAACCGAGGCCCGAAATGGACAAACCGGTGTCCTCAAAATATGGTACTCGATAGAAATTTCAATATGGATGATGTTGTGCGTCAGAGACTCTGAATGGTCCAGCAAGAGAGTGTGAAACTTCAAGACGTTATGTGACAACTGGTCTTATATTTCAGGTCTAAGTGTGCAGTTGCAGGATCAGTCGATCATGTTGCCGCTGGAATCAAAATAGATGGCATTAAGGCTCTTTCATCATTCGAGATCAAGTCCTCCTTGGCTTTGGATTGTGTAGAGAGGCTCAGTGCTCTGGCGGAGGTTAATGATATTCAACTGATGCGGCTACCAGGGCACATGGGGGTCGTAGGAAATGAGGAAGCTGACAATATGGCCAGAACGGCAGCTGCGTCGACCCCGATAGGACTTGGGTGTTGTGGGACCCATCGCCATTAAGAAAATGCTCTGAAAGGAAAATACAAAACTGAGGGAACTGCACCGGCGTAACACCATGGGTCAACGTCAGGCAAAAAGCATATTAGGAGGGTACGATCTGAAAAGATATAGGATATGGATCTCCAAAAGGAGAAAGTGAGAAAGATAACAGGGTTTTTAACGCGACATCACAGGCTAAGAAAGCACCTATAGAATCTAGGAATCTGGTCCAGTGACCTGAGTCGCTTTTGCAACGCGGCCAAGGAGACTCCTTTACACCTTCCTAAGGAGTGGGAGGCCGTTGCACGCTGGTGGAATAGGAGCGTAGGCATTATAGATCAGGTATTCACCATATGCAAACTCTTAAAAAAAAAAATGCGGAAGAAGGATCAACAACAATAGCACCGTTTGTTGTAGATTTTTGCATGTGTCTGGTGGTAAAGAAGGACAGATCGCAGGATTCCCTGCCACAAGCAAACCCTCAGCGTATTCGTTTCTCGGCACTATTGACAGTTTTAATTTCGAAAATACGAAGATTTCGTTTATTTGGCAACCAGCATGAACATCGCCAACAACATCTGATGAAGCGCATGATTTTTGGGTCTTTAGAAATTGGCGAGCGAATACTGAACGATGACCTGTATGCGCTTTATATAGACAAAGGCAAAGCATAGTATTATAATGAACAGCTATCTTGGTCACGCTATCCGTCGAGTTCGACTTATGCAGTACCGAGACAAGAACGAAACTTCTGGCAGACGAAACGAACGTTCGATTCGAGATAGATAATTAGACATAACTTGGGCTTTTTTTAACGTCTGCTGACACAGAAGAGAAACAACTGGCGTCCATTTTAGGATGCTCCAGATTATACAAGTTTCTTTTTAAATTTTTGCAAATTTTCTTTATTATATTTCCAAAATGCTCGCAATAAAAATCTCTTACAAAACGATTTGTGTGCAAAAATCTGGCAAGGGTAACTGAAAGGTTTGATTTAATAAAGTTTGGCAAAATCTACAACCAAACGCTTGTTTATACCTGAGGAAAATTAATTAAATTACATATATATTTTGTTATTGATTGCCAAGTTAGGCAAATGGCATGAGCGATTTATTTGGAGGGTGTGGGTTGGTAGAAATGTTTTTGATGTTGTTGTTGACATTTGTTGAATATTGGTGATAACAATATTATCGTTGTTGTTATATGCCGAAGGCATATATGTGTAGGTAAATGTTGATATATCAAGTAATTATTTATTGTTGTGGCGAAACATGCAAATTCACATTATGACAATTGTTATTGTTATCATGGTTATTGTCATTGTTGTTATCACATCGTAGATATTACATATGTGTATGTATTTTTATTTATTCGATGGAAATCGTTGTTGTTGTTTTCGTTATTATTTTATTTATTTTAGAGTTCATATTGAAATTTATGGAGATCATCAGGTCGGTTAGTTGGTTGGTTGTAATTGTTGTTGTTGTTGTTGTTTGTTGATTATTTGTAAGTTAAGGCGTTGTTGTTGTTGTTATTGTAGTTGTTGGTAGTGTTGAAATTGTGAAGTAAAGTTAGATTGGATTGGGTAAGATGGTTGTTGATTAGTTTTCGGTTGGTTGGTTGGTTAGTTGCTTGGGGGATTTGTTAGTTTGTTTACAGGTTGTGTGGTGGTTATATAGGCGGCAAATGTTTGATGTTGCATTTATGTGTTGCAGTAGTAAGCATATTAGTAGTTGAAGCGTGTTTCTTATTGTTATTTATTTATTTTTTGTGGTTATAAATTATTATGTTTAATTTGTGAGTGTTTGTGTGTTTAGTTTTTATTTTTTTATTTTTATTTTAGGGAACAGGGAAAATGTTCATACATCGATACACAAACAAATGTGAAATGCGTAACAATTTTTGTCACTACACACTTGTTTGTACATCTTGTACGATGTTCTGTTAGTAATGCGGTAGCACATTACGGTACTAATATCTATGGCTCAGTAGAAAGCACCACCATAACTCAAAACGACAGTCTCTAAATTCTTTCAATGCTTTAATCTGATTTGTTATTTCTCTTTGGAACTTTGTTTTTTTTTTCAATTTAGTTTTAATTTTTTTTCTTCTGCTTTGGGAATGTAAGAAATCACACTTGCTTAGTCAGGGCTAACACATTTGCATACATATATATGTATATAGTTATACATTGGGGTGGTCAGAAACTTTTTGCCAGCCGCCCAACCAGAACTGAAGAATATAGAAAGTAAGGAGACCAGTATTTTTTTTGAAATCGGTTAAGATTTAACCGGTCCGCCGCACAGTGGTGCAAACACGAAATTTACTAATATAAGTGATCTACAGACTACAATTCTTGAAGGATTTTCTATTATTATTTTTGAATTGAAAAGTGCCGAGAAAGTAGCAATTTTGAAGAAAACCGATTCGCCTGTTCCGGTTTATCAATTTTATTAA